ACTCGGGAGCTATAATAGGTTTGGTAACCAGGCTAGTTTCAAGTAGCATCAACTACTTTTCAATAGTCATACATGTACTGCCTGTAAATCATTTGAAGTTTGGAGGACTTAATTTTTCAGTTAAAGAGGGAAGGTCTCAGGCCTTCATAGTCTTTCACATTACCAGTTGAAACAAGAAATCAGAGATTTCAGCCTTCCTGGTATACGTAGTATTTTGGATTTTTGAAATTTCATGACCTTAAAGTTCACAGACCTCCAGGCACTGTTTTGGGAACTGTGGAGGGATCGTATGATGTACTAGTAATTTAATCAGGTATTTCACCACTTCCTGAAGGCATGTGCTGGTCACCCTATCAATCAACGGTCAAGATCACATCCCACCCACCAAGAAACCGACAGCAATTAGGAAAGAGGGGCATGAACTCACCCAAAACAAATACTTACGTACCCAGAAATGACCATACGTGTATTAGTGCAGTACTTGCATGTTAGGGGTGTGTTGAATTCGCAACGAGAGCTTGAATTCCAATAGTACTAAATTCTCTCCAATCTCTCACAGATTATAAACTGGAGTGGGTATCTGGAGGAAAAGGGAACAACACAGGAGAGTTCTACATCCCCCACAGTGTGGAGGTGGACGTGTTTGGGCAGGTCTGGGTGGCAGACAGGGCCAACAACAGGACACAGGTGTTTGACGGAGCATCACAGCCCAGGTTCATCGGGGAATGGACATCATGTTTTAAAGGGGACGGCCCTTATTCTGTAAGGTAAGTGATCCTGACTGTCCATCACAATTATCAGGTCAACCAATGATAGCTTGGCGATTAAAAGTTTGGCCAATGATAGAGTGGCTGTATTTCAATATTTGCATTTTTGTCTTCATTTTGCATTTCTATGTTTTGAGGGAGGTGGGTGTTGCTTTAGGATTGGTGTGTAAGTAGGCACAGTCAAAAACTACACAAGAAGACCTCTCATGGGATGGATAAAAAAATGGACAGGTGGTCACTATAGACAGGATTCTTAATGTAAAAAATGTGGTCACATTGGCCAGGCCTGGGTGTCATCCTCCCTAGTTTCCCCCAATGTTGCAAAAGGAATGGTAATAATTTCTGAATATCTTTTCCGTTTTCCATTCACATTCACAGATTCAGTGCGGATAAGAAGTACCTACTGGTCATCCAGTTAAACCTGTCACGCGTCTTAATTCTGGCTGCTCCCTCAAAACCTGGTTTCCTTGGCAACTGCACAGTGATTGACACCATCCAGATGGCTCCTGGTGTCAAGCCACACCTACTTTCTGTCAGCCAATCAACAGGTGCCTTTTATGTTGGAGAAATAGGAGCCAATCAGAGTCAAAAGTTTGTACCTATGCACTGAGGATTGCTTTCTTTTACCTCATTGGCTGGCAAGATTAATATTCTTTTACATGGTGAAATCCTGTAAATGGTAATTGTAAATACATAGAAATAAATGTCTTTATGGAAATGATATGCAAATGCAAAAAACGAATATACAATATACAATATGTCATTTATTCTACTGCCATAGTTTCTAAATCATTGTATTGATAAAAATGCTGCAATATAGTTGGAAATAGAAGTTTTTTTGTAAAGCGACATGAACATAGTTTTACAAAATATGACATTGAAAAATGAAATTGTTTCAAAACATGTGGAATGTTTTTATTTGTATTTCACTATTTGTTATTCACAATTTCTGCTGTCATATTTATAAAATATGTTGTCATATTTATGAAATATGACAACATGTTCAAAAATACAATCATTTCAAAATATATATAGAATATGTGTTTTCATTTGTTTCCAAGGCATAAGCAAAATACAGTACACAATTAAAACGAAAATTCAACTCTTCTCAATTCCTGCTATCATGTCTTGTCTTCCTGTGAGCCTCTGACAAAGGGAACACTAGTCCTATACTTGAGTGTGTGAGGTCCAGCCTGTCTTGTTAGTGTCTCTGCATTATCCAGCTGGTATGGCTCATCGTACACAGTAGAAATCACCACGTCTTTCTCCACGCGCCGCCGCTTGTTTCCTCCAGCCTGACGATCCAGTTTCTCGCCATAAAACCTGCAAAGACACAAGGTACAGTATAAAGACTCAATAAAAACAACATTACTGCAGAATGTGATATAATAGTACACAAGGTAGTAATTTGAAAAGCTTGTCTGTTTAAAATCAACTGCTAGCTCCTGTACAATGTATATGGTAGTACAGTGGATTTGTTCTTCAAGCTAACCGACATCTAGGAATAGTAGGATACAGCATGCAGTCGTCCCTCAGTAAGACATCTGGAGCCGCATAGTTCCCGTTTAGAACATTATCGACCCTGTCATGACTGGTTTTGCCTTGTGGGCTTCTTCAAGTTTACAGAGGTAAGCTCTCACTTACATGTATATTCCTAATTCTGCTAGTCTCCTTTGGAAAGACAAATAGACAAACCAAAGAAAGCCATTGAAAACAATCCAACCGTGACAAGTGTCACTCAAGTTATATCACAAGTCCATCTGGATTTCTCTACTTACCCAAAGCCTCTCTTGTCCCTGGGCCCCTGTCCTTCATTCTCCAGTGCGTCTGCTGGCCCTTTCTTCCAGGAGCCCAGCCCCTCCCCATCACGCCAGCCTTGTCTCTCCATTATCTTACGCCCCAGGCCCTGAGGGGGAAAGATACACAGCACACATGAACCATCTATGGTACCAGAACTGTACAAAATTCAATTGCTGAAATTTTGGACACTTCTGGTATTTCCTAGCTATATTTCATTTAGAAGAAAAATGTCCAGACCATAATGATGTATTGTTGATAAACATAAACAAAACACAAACCTTTGTGTGCTTCTCAAACTGTCCAATCTTTCCACTTTCTTCTCTCTGTTCCTTCCGTTCTTTGCGGGTTTTCTTCTTTCTTGAGGTGATGTCTTCTTCCCCGTCTAGCCCCGCCCTTAGCCGTTGCTCAAGACGCATTTGAAGATAGTCCCGGGCATCCTTGTCTCCTCCATCTGTAAGATATCACCAAATCAATGTCACTTTTCCAACTTTTCAAGTTAAAACAGTCAATGCTATTGTCACGTAAATTTTTATCACTCTAATTTAGTTGCAGCACATGATAACTAAAACTACTGTAAATTGTGAAACTTTTGCAGTGGTTTTATCTTCACAATTTTGCCTTTGACCTCTCTACTGTAAATTCCTAACACCCTGATTGAAAGAAAAAAAAGGTGACAGTAACTGAGTAAGGTTAAGAAGACCATACCTGGGTCATAGTACACACTCATGTCTACATCCCAGTCGTCGGTAGTCCTCTCATCAAAGTCCCCCCTCATCTGGTCCCAGAACTGTGCGTCTGTGTAGAACACCAGCCCGCTGCCTCCCTTCTCCCACTTCAGCTCGATCTCCTCCTCAAACAGACGCTCCTTGTTCCTCCCCTGTTTGGTCACGTCGTCGTACAGAGCCTCGTGCCGCTCCCATTCCTCACATGTGTCATTGTCCTGGGGATCAATTCAAAGGGCAGTTCACACATATATAGTTTGCATTATGCAATCTCTCGCTGTTAGGGTGTGAATGTGCCTACTCCCTAAAACTAGTAAAAGCTTGTGGCCATACACACATTTCTAACTTGTGTGAACCATTCTCAAAACTACCAATAGGAGCTCAGGATTCTTTATCATCACCATTGATTTAGTCCAATAGCAACTCAGCATTCTGTCATTATCATGGATACCAGTCATAACAGCCTCCAAATTCCAATGCCATGGTAATACTAATAGACAGTTTTCTGTCTGACAATAATTGGAACGTGTAACTGTTAGCACATATGCATAAATCAACAGGATTAAGATTCTGTCTTGTTGGCCATCAAGCTTCCAGGGGCCTGACTAGTGGAAGGGCTGCTAGAAGCATGATGTAGGCAGGCTATTACATACACAAAGAACACAAACATACAATGTAGTACAATGTATATACAATGTACTAGTATGTATGTACTTATAAATTATATTAGAACACTTTAACTTACATCATCAGAGTGGGACTCATCAGCTTTGTCTTCCTCCTCCTTCTGCTGTCTCTCTTGCTCCCTCCTTTTCTCCTGCTCTTCTTCCTTCCTTCTCTGTTGCTGTTCTACAAATCCCACCTCAGCAGACAGTTCCTCCCCTGTCCCTGTCAGCACCATGCTTCCCTCCACCACCCTCCCCCCGTAGTCAAATGGTACATTCCCGTACCTCCTACTAGACCCAGTGGAAGGGAAGACCAGTCCAAGTTTGTGGATGAGAATAGGGGGGAGCCGGCAGGTGCGGATGAGTTCTAGAAATACTTTGATTGGCGTTCCGACGTTCCCGCGAGGCATGACGTCGGGTGGGTGGAGCTCGATGAGCTTCTGTAGCTCTGATTGGCTGATTGTTTCTCCATCTTTTCTCTTCCGTCTTTGCTCTACTTCCTTCCTGGTCTGGTATTTAAGTGCATCAGAACCTGAAACATTGGGCCATGTATGTAATAATAACGATAAATGACGCTAGCATATAACAGCATAAACGATATACTAGTATACATGATTTCACAGAAGGAGTAGATTGCTCATTCTTTGAGAAAGACTGGAGTTGGCCATTTGACAATTTGGATAAGATTTTTGCATGAAATAATTACAGTTCATACTGTGATTCATAATGACTTTTACCAACACAGCAGAACTTTCAAGCTAAAACGTTATACGATGTCCCCTACTGTTTTCATCCTGTTCTCTCTGGTTTTATTTTTTTGTGGTGACCTCTTACAGCAAAATCATAAATGTGTGTTCTGTACATGAGAATTGTTTCAACTGTGAACGACATCTGGAAAACCTCATGCCACGAAATAAAACCACTGCAAAACTAAATGCACTTTACAGTAATGAAATCACACAGAAGCAAATTGAAGATCTCTCTATTCCCACCTTCCTCCGCCAGCCTGACCCTCCTGATGCCTGCCCTGTGCCTGAGGTAGTCCCCCCGCCTGTCCACCCAGTGTTTCCCGTGGTACAGCTTCACAAACTCGGCCCATCTCTCCTCCAGAACACGTACTACACAGCACAGAGTTTTCCTCTTCTCTTTACATCTGCTTGGTCCGGCTGCATTGTCGCCATCCACACTTGCTCTGTAGTCTGTTAATACTTTCTGCTCAGACGTAGACGGGAAAACTGCTGTGCCTGCCGTTACTCCAACTGCCTTTTGGCTGTGCTGTGCCGAAAGACTTGTTTCTGAACCTACTAACTCGCCCCCCTCCCCTTTTTGCGACACGTTTCTTTCGTCGGTTTCCTCTGGCGTATCGGCGCCTTTCGCCTCCGGACGGTGTCTGAAGTGAAAACAGTCGAACCCTCCACTTTCTATGAACTGGGAGAAAAAGTTCCTGAGATCTGCAGAGTGGAAATGCCCGGGAATGTTGCCGACGATTCCGTAGACGACTTTCTTCGTGTTTGTGTCGGCCATGTTTCATGACGTCATGAGGAAAATCATCGTCATCCGGACGTCGGGCGATTCCATCTGCTAGGGAAGGGGGGTGGAACCTTAAGAACAGGCAACGTGAAAACCGGAAAATTTGGAATATTGCCCACAATTACGGAAAGGCATTTTGCGTGAAGTAAAATTCGGACAGATTTTAGCTTAGCACAACTTCTTAAGTATAGCATAGATGTATACCAACCCGTACTACTATACTGGAGAAGAGCTTAAACACGTTGGGCATGTTTAGTATTGGATCATCATCATCGGTCGGCTCCAACGCAGGCGACTGCAAGACCCCTCCACTTCCCCTTGTCGCCAGCAAGGTTGGCTATCTGCTTTGCCAGCGCCGACAGTTGTTTGCAGTCGTCTCCCAGAAGTTGTCATGGATATAGTTCTAGTTTAAGTTATAATTATCCTTTAACCAGCAATGAGAAAGCAAAGCAAGGCGTTCTCGGAAACATGAGAAATTTCAGGCGACCAATACAGTTAAGACCAGTTAACTTTACATACCCGCGGGACTTATTGATAGTAATTATATATAATATTACAGTTCATCGCAGGTCACAGGAAGCTTGTACAGGTGTACTTGGCATATCGACAAGTGATACACAAAGTTATAGCAATGTTTCCGTGCAGAAGTGCTGCGGTAGCCGGACCACAATGTCAGCTGGTCTTGTCCATGGTGCTGAACTCCTCTATTCTGCGTACACTGGTCCTAGTTCTGTACGCATACTTCAATAAACGTTGTTATTCGCTGGATTATATGGTGTACTTCGTCTTATTTGTGGGCAGACTGCAGCGTGAAGCACTTCTGAGAACAAGGTAGAACAAAGAACACTAAAGGATACCGAGTGTAATGTTTTGGCTCCAAACCAATGGATCCTATCACGTCATGCCTATACCAGAGGTATAAATGTATGTGTCCTTTATTGGCGGAGAAACTTCAAGAAATTGAAACGATATGACTACAGATGACATCTTTATGTGTCCTTGACTCCTTGCCCTATTTGTTTATACTTTCCATTAAAGTATGGTATACTGTGTGAGACAACTAAAGCCCCCCTTTTCTGTCAATCAAAAATCAATATCGCTCCGACTTTCAGATTACTGTATGTACACGATTTCACATTTTCGACAAATTTACCTATGACGCAATTCCACTTATTGCTGGAGTCACATTACATTACGTAATTTTCAGTTTTCCATTCCATGAAATTCAGATAGTGTCACGTGTGATTTTTGTTAGTGTTATATATCCACTGGCTCCGAGCCTCTGTACACGTAGACTACGAGGTGTGAACAAGCGGAAATAATTGGCGCTACTTACAAGTCACATGTTTAATTGAAGGTTACACAAAAAGGGTTGGCAATGCCAAACTTGAGGTCTATGTACTTACAAAAGATTGTTTCATTCATGTTTGTCAGTTCTATTCTTATAGGCGCTAGGAGGAAACATGTAGCTGACCGCATGTGACCGTAGCTAGTTACAGAGTGGTACAATAGTTGCCGCGGCCCTTCCGGCATTACTAGAAAGATAATCTGTGCGTGACAGGCTGTCACAGACACAGGGAGGAGTGTCCTACTCACATGGAAACAATCACTGAGTTAAGAACACAAGTAGGAATACGAGCAAAATGGCCAGATTTCAAATCAAATCTTGCCGTATTCACAATGCTTTCAGTTAGGTACCTTTCTCACTTTGGTCAGAACCAAGCGTTTTACTCTGCACCAAAAGTCGGATTTTTTTCTATGCTATGGTCGAGACCTAGGCTAAGCAGCAGTACATCATAATAACATTTGTTATACGGTACGCTGACGAGTAGCACTGAGATGGTCGCTGACGTACAGTGATTCCGCTTAAAATGAAAATTATCGTGCTTGACTTTTATTAACTACTATTATAAAGCCAGGTACTACATATACAAAGTAAACATTTCTCGACTTTGCTACCATTTAGTAAATTACACTTTTCGTGCTGTGTTAGAAGAAACGTGTTTTGACCTCGGATGACCATTTGTGAGGTTAGACATCTCCCCAGGCGACAGTTAAAGGCCATCCGAAAATAGGAACCGGTTTGTCTTCTTCACTCTGAACCAATGGGCGCGCTTGGTGACGACGTCATGAACGTGACGTCACGGACGGGTAGGACAGATACGAGGAAAATTGGCTAGCTTTTGTTTAAATGTGACGTTGCCGTATATTTATAGCAACTCTACAATAGATAATGATGGAGACCAATTTTTGTTGCGTCGCGGGTATTCCCCTAGTTTCTACCTTCCAAGTGTATATAAGACGGACCGAAGACCTGTTTAAGACGATTAGACCGACGTTACCCGTCCCAATCCGGACGTCCCACGACAGTATAGGATCCACAAGACTCTGTCACAGATTGTTTACAACTACAACTACAGAGGAAAATGAGCTTCGAGAAGCTCCCCAGTCAGAGGCGGGACCACAGCAGTCTCGGCTCGGTGATCCAGCTCTTCGCGGCCGGGGTTTTCCTGGTTGCCGTCTGCCTGGTGCTGTGGCAGGGGGCTGAGCTGAGGGAACGCCGGGTCGTGCTGGACCGGGTACTGGACGAAGTCACCCTCCTGAGAGAGCGAGACACCAGGCAGGACCAGGAGATCGGGTACCTGAAAGTACAGGTTCATCTTCTGATGAAAGAAAGAGAGGACGACAAGACGCAGTCCAAGGTCGGTAAAGACACCATCCAAGACGATGTTCTTAAGAGACAAGATGTGACAGCAGAAACAGAAGTAAGAATCCTTGTTACCTTCGCCAAGCAAGGTCATGACTTCGATAGTGTGTGTGTATGTGCGTGTGCATGTGTAAACAAGAAGCGAAGGCTTACATACAGTGCCTTGATATTTGTCAGGTGGGTAGGTCCTGATCATGTTGATGAGATAGACCTCGAAATGATTAGATTTTGCATCCCCTGTGACTTGTTGTGGTACCGCAGTACGGCTTCAATATGTCGTGATCTGGACATGCTAGCTAACGGCTAGGGGCACGGATTTTGGATGGTAGATAGATAGCATGCTTAGGAAGAGGTAACGCGAGTTTGGGGCCTGTTAGCAGCTTGTTATGAGACTTCAGGCATTCGTTGAAAAAGGTTTTGAGGAGTATAACTCAAGTCGTTATTTTTGTTACGTAAGTAGCTTTAGTAGTGCTTGACATGCTCATAGAATAGACATTATGCAAGTAGACGCTAAACAGATAAACAAACCGCCTTCCCAATTATGTGTTTTTACCAGAACCAGTGACTGTTGCTAATGTGCACGACAACTCCTTTGTTCTGACAGTTGACCTCTCACGTTTTGAACTCTCCTCAAATGTAAACCCCGCCTAACACAGCTCGCCTGAGGGTTGAATAGATAATGATGTTTCCCCCCACTTTTATTTCATAGTCGGAGCCGACGGACGGTGTTGTCAATATTGACCGAGTTGATCTGGACGATGAGTGGGACTTTGACACCCCCTGGCGACTGGAAGGTGAACTGCACGACAGGTCGCGGAGGCAAGCTGGTGAGCTTTGATCAACAAATAATACAATATATATTTGATACGGTTTCATGAAGCAGATCTAGAGGAAAAAGCATAGGAGGTGAAAGATACTTCAAACAAACGCAAACTGACAAAACATGAACAATACATCTAGCGATCCCGGTCTCTGCATCATGATAATAAAACAGTATCAATTGCTTCTTGTGGAGGCTGTTGACTTTATGACCTCATATTGAGATCTATCGTCCTATTATCTGCATTTCCAGGGTGCACCGGGTGTAAGGGAGACAGGGGACCTCGAGGACAGAGAGGACGGCGAGGAATAAGGGTAAGCTTAAAATGAAAATTAAAAGACAAAATAAAGATGAATATTGTGTTTTAATTTGCACAAAATACTGAGATATAAGTAACATGAGTTATTATGTGACGGAGAGTGTTTTTCTCACATCTAGGGTGTAGGGGGAAAGCCTGGAGATCCTGGCCCCCCAGGACTGAAGGGGGACACTGGAGAACCCGGACCTAAAGGCAACGATGGAGAACTCGGACCTAAAGGCGACGATGGAGAACCCGGGCCTAAAGGCGATGCTGGGCAGCCAGGACCTAAAGGCGAAACCGGGCAATCCGGACCTAAAGGCGAAACTGGACAAACCGGACCTAAAGGTGACACAGGAGGACCCGGACCTAAAGGTGACACTGGAGGACCCGGACCTAAAGGCGACGATGGACAACCCGGACCTAAAGGTGACACTGGAGAACCCGGCCCTAAAGGCGACGATGGACAACCCGGACCTAAAGGCGAAACCGGACAACCCGGACCTAAGGGTGACACTGGAGGACCCGGACCTAAAGGCGATGCTGGACAACCCGGACCTAAAGGTGACACTGGAGGACCTGGACCTAGAGGGGTACCAGGACCTAAAGGCGATGCTGGACAGCCAGGACCTAAGGGCGAAACCGGACAACCTGGACCTAAAGGCGAAACCGGACAACCCGGACCTAAAGGCGACACTGGAGGACCCGGACCTAAAGGTGAAACTGGACAACCCGGACCTAAAGGTGACACTGGAGGACCAGGACCTAAAGGGGTACCAGGACCTAAAGGCGATGCTGGACAACCAGGACCTAAAGGCGATTCTGGACAGCCAGGACCTAAAGGTGAAACTGGACAACCCGGACCTAAAGGTGACACTGGAGGACCAGGTCCTAAAGGTGACACAGGAGGACCCGGACCTAAAGGGCTACCAGGACCTAAAGGGGACAATGGACAACCAGGACCTAAGGGCGATGCTGGACAGCCAGGACCTAAAGGCGAAACCGGACAACCCGGACCTAAAGGTGACACTGGAGGACCAGGACCTAAAGGCGACACTGGAGACCAAGGAACTCAAGGCCCCCAGGTAAGTCAATGTGACATGACTGGTATCCGTTACTAGAAAGATATTAAAATTTGGTGATTAAAATGTTGGATAAACAATTTGGGAAATTCTCTTCCTTGATGACATTAGCCTGGAATCCATCCAATTCTGGATTTGTTCTGCTTCAACCATGGAGGTAATAATAAAAGACACAAGGCCTTGTCTTTTACCTCCATGCTTCAATGATCACATCCACGAGTAAAAGTCTGCAGCAAAGAGATCAGTAGAGCAAATGGAGCTAGAATAGGATGGATACTACCTACTATGATATTGCTGGGTGGTAGTTGAACATTTCTTTGTTTTGATTTCAGGGGTCCCGTGGCTACACTGGTGCCAAGGGACAGAAGGGTGACCATGGTTCCCGTGGCTACACTGGCTCCAAGGGACAGAAGGGTGATCGTGGCCTCACCGGTACATCCATCCAGGGAGAGAAGGGTGACCTAGGCCCAGTCGGTCCGAAGGGTGATCGTGGATTGCCTGGTCCAAAGGGACAGAAGGGGGACCTGGGCCCAGTCGGTCCGAAGGGATACCGTGGCTACACTGGCTCCAAGGGACAGAAGGGTGACCGTGGCCTCACCGGTGCCACTCCATCGACATACGTCCAGAGATGTGAGTACGAGTACATTGTAACTCACTGCAGTGTTGGTATACAGTATGTAACCAGTTTGCAAAAAGTCTAGCGCTTGGGAATATGTATATATATATATACCATTTTACACGCATGCATAGTGAGGTCTGGTTTACTCGGAAGCATTGTGATAGGGATAAATGGCTCCTTAGCATGTCACCCCAACAATAATAACAATCATATACATGTAATAACAACATTGGGTTTGGCAGTATTCTTTACCCATGCTGCATAAACATACAATAATTTCGTTTGGTAAAATAAAATAGCAAAAAGAAATTGCACTATTAAGGTGTTACATCTGGTACATTCACCAAATCCACTTAAGACCTAGTACTAGTAGTAGTAGTAGTAGTGGCGGAACTTATCCGCCTGATGGTTTTACCTCTTTGCAATATATGGCTCTACACAAACTATTTGTGGAAAGGAAGTTACTAAGTTTAATTTTGTCATCAAATGTTCTTTCAGGTGACCTTGGACGCATAGATACTGGTCCTAATAGTTCGCCCCCTGATCCGACCCATGATCTCTTCCAAGGCACGGGAGACCGCAAAATCTGCATAACCCATACCTTCCGTTCCCCCTTCCGCGGTGTACCGAATGTTCATCTCGGCTTCGTTCACCTCGACCACCATTTTGGCCAGGAACGGATACATACACATGTGAGAAATGTTACAACAGATGAAGCAGAAGTATGCATCAGCACTTGGCATGATACGAAATGGGTGAGGGTAGCGGTGGATCTCCTTGCTTGTCTCTAAAAAAAAAACGTTCACCAGTCAGGTATATAGATGTCAACAAATCAGTTACATGTCTCCATTTTTAAGCAAGAAAGATGTCAAAAATATAGTTTGTAACATTCAAGAAAGCCTTCATTCTTTGTTACATGTTTGTACTTCCCAAAACGGAAGTATTGTTTTGAATGGAGCTAAAATTTATGCTAGGTTTGTAGGTTTGGTCCAAAGCGACTGGGAGGAGATTGGGTTTCACTTGCTTGCTTGACAGGGTTTTGACACTATGTAAGCTGGGTTTAAGCATATGGTCGCCAGGAATGTACATGTATGCAATACAAACCATGGTGTAATGGCAGAGTTTCATCATATACAATCATATGAGTAATAATACACTCTCTACAATGGAATTCAAACTATATCTACATCCTGCAAGCTTTATAATATATGATGCCTTGTTAGAAATGTGCTCTGGTTGACCGATTGTTGTGAATTTTGGTATGTCCATAGCTTAACTCATGTTTATCAACATACAATGTATGTACACCAATACCATTGCTATTACCATATCAATAGTTTTTTTACAATAAGCAAAGCTCTTAAGAAGTTGCACACAAAATGATTACCTTTCTGTGAAAAGAAACATGTTCAGATTGGAGGACTATCATACATTGCATATTAATTGTGGAGCAAATACAATTTGCAACAAGACGTTACTGGACACTTATGAATAAGACCACTTTGTCTTTCCAAGTCGAATAAATAAAGAAAATACAACTGTTACATCTTGTCTGGTCTAATTACTTTGCACAAATCAAGCTAGATAAAAAAACATGTCATACATCTTTTAGAACTCGGATAAAAGTCAATCTACCTTCTGCATGCGTGTGGGATAGCTGCTTTAGACATAGTACTGATCACACTTGTAGGGTTTTTTCACCTATAGGAGTTTTAGTATGTTGGGATAAAGTCTTTTAGTTTACGTTGTCCTGTACCCACATACATGTATGTAGGGTTTCTCATCAGTGTGCTTTGCTAGATGGTTGTCCAAATTAATATTTTATGCAGCAGACTAATCACACTGGTCACACTTTTAAGGTTTTTCACCAGTATGGGTTCTTATATTTTGGGATAAGTCAGACTTTCGAGCTGTCCTGTACCCACACACCCCACACATGTAGGGTTTCTCACCAGTGTGGTTGGTTAGATGGTGATAGTCCAATGCAGATTTCAGTGCAGCAGAATAGTCACACTGGTCACACTTGTAAGGTTTTTCACCTGTATGGGTTCTCATGTGTTGGGTTAAGTGAGACTTTCGAGCTGTCCTGTAGCCACAGCAGTTTTTAATTAACATGGAGTTTCATATGCTTGGTCATGCTGGACTTCCGATATGTCCCATAGCCACACTCCTCACACATGTATTGTTGGTCTTCATAATCAGTGTGACTTGCTAGATGTTGGCCCAAAGTGGTTTTCAGTGCTGCAGAATAACCACACTGGTCACACTTGAAGGGTTTTTCACCAGTATGGGTTCTCATGTGTTGGGTTAAGTGAGACTTCTGATTTGCCCTGTACCCGCACTCCCCACACATGTAGGGTTTCTCATTAGTGTGTTTTGCTAAACGGTGTACGTCCAAAGAGTGTTTCCGTGCAGCAGAATAATCACACTGGTCACAGTTGAAAGGTTTTTCACCAGTATGAGTTCTCGTATGTTTGTATAAGCTTGATCTGCCAGCAGTCCTGTATCCACACTCCCAACACATGTAGGGTTTCTCATCAGTGTGTTTTGCTAGATGGTGTTGGTCCAAAGTGGATTTCTTTGCAGTAGAAAAATCACACTGGCCACACTTGTAGGGTTTCTCACCAGTATGAATTCTCATATGTTGGGAGAAATGAGACTTTCGAGCTGTCCTGTACCCACACACCCCACACATGTAGGGTTTCTCACCAGTGTGCTTGGTTAGATGGTGATATTCCAATGCAGATTTCAGTGCAGCAGAATAGTCACACTGGTCACACTTGAAGGGTTTTTCACCAGTATGGGTTCTCATGTGTTGGGTTAAGTGAGACTTCTGATTTGCCCTGTACCCGCACTCCCCACACATGTAGGGTTTCTCATTAGTGTGTTTTGCTAAACGGTGTACGTCCAAAGAGTGTTTCCGTGCAGCAGAATAATCACACTGGTCACAGTTGAAAGGTTTTTCACCAGTATGAGTTCTCGTATGTTTGTATAAGCTTGATCTGCCAGCAGTCCTGTATCCACACTCCCAACACATGTAGGGTTTCTCATCAGTGTGTTTTGCTAGATGGTGTTGGTCCAAAGTGGATTTCTTTGCAGTAGAAAAATCACACTGGCCACACTTGTAGGGTTTCTCACCAGTATGAATTCTCATATGTTGGGAGAAATGAGACTTTCGAGCTGTCCTGTACCCACACACCCCACACATGTAGGGTTTCTCACCAGTGTGCTTGGTTAGATGGTGATATTCCAATGCAGATTTCAGTGCAGCAGAATAGTCACACTGGTCACACTTGTAAGGTTTTTCACCTGTATGGGTTCTCATGTGTTGGGTTAAATTAGACTTTTGAGCTGTCCTGTACCCGCAGTCCTCGCACTTGTAGGGTTTCTCACCAGTATGGGTTCTCATATGTGCAGATAAGTGAGACTTTCGAGCTGTACTGTAGCCACACTCTCCACAAATGTAGGTTTTCTCACCAGCATGTGTTTCTGGCTGATTTTCTGTAGGCTGGTCTTCAACATTACTGGCATATCTGTCCCATAAAACTCCAACAGGAGACCCTTCACAAAGGTCCTGGGGAACTGCAGTGGGAGACCCTTCACAGAGGTTTTGAGGAACTGCAGCAGGAGACCCTTCACAGAGGTTCTGGGGAACTGCAGTGTGAGACTCCTCACAGAGGTCCTGGCGAACTGCAGTGTGAGACCCATCACAGAGGTCCTGGGGAACTGCGGTTGGAGACCCATTGCTTGTCTCTGCCATGTCTGACCTATAAATTATGAGAAGAAAATATAAAATGATGGAGCACATCAATCACAAACTTTGATGAGTCATAAGTGCATGTTTCTGTTGGTACACAGAAAAGAAAACAGAGAGGTTGCACAAACTTTGGTCCAGACCCCATTCCCACTGTTGTTTTTAATTATTTTGCCTGTCTTTGCTCTCTCCCATACATTCTTTCCTGCATAAACTGGAAATTTGTTCTTCCCTTTAACATGGTTTCTGCTGTAGTTTTGTTTTCTTCTTCTATAACATAGATCGCCCTTGTTTTTTCAAGGAACCTGCTTGTTTTGGTCTGACAGAAACGACCCCTTGTCTTGAAGGTCACTGTGTGGTTTCGCCCTCTAGTTCATATTTCGTCCTAATGTGACCCATACGGTAGAAATGTAATACCTAACAGTTATATCTTCTATATATTCTTCATTATAAGGCAGTTAAATAATTTTTCGCGTTTCTTACCTGCTTCCAGCGTTGACTTTAAACCTCAGAATCCTGCTGGTGCGTTGGTGGTGCGTTCTCTGCAGCGGCTACGGGTGAAAGGTGAACTTCATTTGGGGTGAAAGGTCATCTTTTGTGCCTGATTATCGACTGAGTGTGTAACAGGTTGGTCTACATTTTTAAAGGCACGTTCCATTCTTAGCCTGATTAAATCGCTTTACGAGTGCCGCCCACCCAATATCCGGCTGCGGGGAGGGGCCACTAAAGCCGCGGACGGCAGAGTTTGCGTTACACAGACTAGTTCCATTCTGTGCAGAGCATATGGGTGGTGCCCATCTCCATTTCTGTAGCCCTTGGGCCTCTCAGTTGTGCAAGCACCACAGCAGGGGGCTACTAGTATTGTTGTGTGTTTGACCTTCCCATACCCTTTCTCATAGATGGTCAGTGCTAAGCAGAGAAAGGCTAAATGTTTAAAAAATTAGGCATTTTATTTGGGTTTATCAAAGGATGCCTCGTAACATTTCACCATCTAATTCCAGAAAAAAATCCTGGAACCAAAAAATCAAATTGGTATGGCCTAAAATTAAGAAAATGCACATACAACAACAGCATAAAAGCATGCATGAAAATTCTTGAATATTGGTATATTTGCAAAATGGCACAAGCACGTTATATAATATTATACATTTTGGACATATTTCGTTTGACTCAAAAAGACTTCATTTCCTTGCATAAATATACATCTGCATAGGTTGGAATTTCTTGAATAATTGCATATCACAATATGCCTCAGAATGACAGCACTTGCTGTGTTTCAATGTATAGAAATTGTAAAATAATGACGCTGACCGAAAAATGCCAAAATCTGTCTCCACAATCACAAGTCATTGCATGGTCTTATTATGCTATTCCAGCACATCTCTGTATAATATACACATGATGCTGTCTGTAGTACATGTCGGAATATCCTTTCCAGCTACATTTTGTACTTATATTGCTCAGGTATATACATACATGTATATGGCATTGTGAAAGGCAAGACGTC